CAAAAAAGATAAAGTAAGTCAGTGTAAAACAACAGACATAGAGTGCAGTCAGCAAATATCCACGGCAACATACTTAGAATATTTTTTGTGCAGATTATTTAAATGATGCATCGGTCTTTACAGTGAATATTACAAGTTTTACAAAATCCAAAAAGTAGTACTTGAATCTGAAATGGGTTTTCCAGTGTGTCAGTCAGTCTGTAGCTGATACAGTATAAACACTCCTCATACAGTCTGTGCGCTGTACTGATTAAAAAACACTACTCTCTTTATTTGCAGTGTGGTGGTTCAGTGTCGGCCGGAGCGTTGAGCACAGTCAGTCTGTGTGTGCGCGGGGGGGGAGGAGGAGGAGGGGGACTCTCAGTGGACGTTCAGACGGAGGGAGGGCGGGCGGGGTGGGGGGGGGGAGTCCTACTCCTTGGCCTCGTGCTCCGACTCGGACTGAGCGTCGGCTCCTCGGCCCAGCTGCTCCTCGATCTTGATGGAGAAGATGGTGTTGTTGGTCTGCGTGCCCTCGTCCAGCTCCTTCAGCAGCTCTCCGCTCTCCCTGAAGTCCGTCAGCTCCTCCTCGAAGGCCGGGCTGCTGCTGCTGCTGCTGCTGCTGTTGGTGTTGGTGGTGGCCGACGTGCTGTGGTTGTTGTTGTTGTTACTGGGCTCCTTGGGCGCCTTTGCTGGGTGATTGACGTAGAAGCGCTGGTTCTGGAAGAACTTGATGATGGTGAGCTTGGGCAGGTCGAGCTGGGCGGACAGCGTGTGGATGGCCTCCTCGTCCGGGTACATGCCCACGTCCTGGATGAAGCTCTGCAGGATGCCCAGAGCCTCCAGGGAGATCTTCCCTCCGCCGGTGCGGGACTTGATGCTCCCTCCGCGGCTGCCCTCGTCCTCCGTCTCGGCCGGAGAGGCCGTGGAGGGCTGGCGAGGCGGCAACCGGGGGCCGGTGGTGGGCTGCAGTTGCTGCAAAGGCTGCTGGGACAAAAGGGGTTGGCAGGGGTGCTGGAGAGACAGGGAGGCCTGGTGCTGCTGCTGTGGCTGGAGCGACTGAGCCTGCAGTGGGAAAAAAAATAAAAGGAGACGGGGATGTTATCAGCGAACACTTATCTGCGCCTTAATAAGGCCTTTCATTAAAATCAATTGAGTTGTGAGGGAAAACGGACCGGCTGCGTGGTTGAAGGAATGTTCCATGTAATATCTCATTGAATGTAATCAGTTCTGCAGATATGTTTTTCTTCCCTTTTTTGGTGGTGGGAGATTGTGTCTCTCATTGTGGGGGTAGAGGCTTCAGCCACACACTCACAGTTACACACACACACACAGTCTAACAACACAATCAGCCCTGCACACAGAGGGAATTCACAGGCCTCTCTATTATAGCCTCTGCTGCTTATCAGGCTCTATTGCCCGGCAGTGATAAACAAGCTCCCTGTGCACAATTCACGTAGCGATGGACCGGCTGATTTGCCGCAGTGCGAGAATGCTATCGATGGCTTTTCACTGGGCCGTCAGAATCCCGTTAGTGTAAACACATGACACATTACTCGTAAAATGTCTCATTGTGTGGCTGGAGAGGGAGCGAGTGGGCAACTCATGGTCCCCATTGACCCGGCGGAATGGGTGCTCTTTTATTTTCATTCCTGAGTCAGACGCTGTAGAATAGGTGTTTCGTAATGAAGTTTTTCAAAGCAGCACTTTGCGGGGACTCTGTTTGCCAGCTGCATAAATGCACCCAAAGATGTGATTTTACAGGAGCAATATACCGAGCCATGATCGTTGTTGTTGAGCAAATGTGAGCTAATTTGGCTAATGTATCGCGTTACTGAGGGACGGGCACGAAATATTTAAACACTCGTCTCTCACGGACGGTGTAAAACTGCAACATTAAACCTGAAATAATCCCATTTTATCAATCTCACACTATTTCTCTTTGCATGTAAAGTACAAACAACATTTTTCCCTTTTTCCGTATCTGCTGCGGAAACTGATTTGTAAGAGAAATCCTATTAACTTATTTATATCAGAAAATGGCAGCCTCTGTAAAAAACACACTGGTCATGTATCCAAGTAACCGAATAAGTCATCAAGCACTCGGCGGTGGCTCAGACTTTTAATAGAAGTATTATTGTGCTTCATTAAGATATTTCGACCGCTAACGGGGCCCGTGTGTTATTTCCTATTCATCTGCCAGATGTCTCTTATAAAGCAGCTTTATTAAATAAGTTCAGCCTAATGATGTGGTTACAACCTTCACTGGGAAGTGGAACTTTTAAGTGTTGCTTTGTTTCAAATTAACAAGAGTTCATAAAAATTCCCAAGTGTTGTTTATTACAAATTCGGGGAAAATTAGTAAAGATTAAATGAACTCTTTCTGTGTTTCCGATTCAGAGAAACATGAGAAAATAATCAGAGCGACAATGAGCAGAATTTAATCAGTAGAGTGAAACTAATCAATCTATGGACTGACTCGTTCCACAACTGGTCGAGGAATCGCTTTGTTAAATGTTGAAGGAAATAATAAAAAATATTTTGAAAATATTGAGAAAAACTGAATATCCTCAGTTTGCTATCGCATAAAAAAAGTTATCTTCACCTTTCTTAAAAATTACAATCAATTGATTATCTCAATGGTCACAAATTATTTTTCTATTAATTAACTGACTAACCACCAGTGAAACTGTGCAGGTGTATTTTCATGTACTTGTTTCCCACATGGAGATCAACACCTGAACGTACTCTTGTTTTTATGTTTTACTATGAACAAATCCACAGTATTTCCTCAAAAGTCTGTTTTAATCATATAAACATATAAAGTAAAAAAACTCGACAGGACGTCTGAGCTGATTGTGTCTCAGTGTCGGTGGACTCGTGTCGTCTCGCTCACCTGGAGCTGGTCGCTGGAAATGTGCATCAGGTGCGACGGCCGCTCGTTGTGGTGCTGCTGCCCGGCGCTGCTCTCCTGCTCGTAGATGGCGTCGCGCTCGGCCTGCGACAGGCTCAGGAAGCGTCGGATCATGGAGAGGTTCTCCCAGAGCGTCCGGTTCTCCGGGGACGGATCCTCCTTCCAGCGGAGCAGCTCACAGAGCCAACCCTGAGCAGAGGATGAGAGAGCAGCTCAGGTCAACATGTTCTTTAGACTCTAATATTAGTGCAGGTCATTATATGTATTATGAACTGTTGTCGTCTCTACTTTCTTTAAAAAGGGTTAAAACTAATTTAAGGCCCAAGAATATGGAAACAGATTCATAAAGTCGACCTGGGATTATTAATAATTATTTAAAAATCACAATATTTAGTAATTATTCATTGGCTTCAATGCACCGAGATGGAAAACATCCACCGACACTTTACAAGTCTTTTTAAAATGAAAGAAAAATCTTCATCATTTTACCAAAACACTTTCCAGAGCTAAAATAAATCAAACTATAATAACAAAGCGTCTTATTCTTTCACAACGGCTGCACCTGCAGTTAGTGTGTTTTTCTGCCGCAGCTGCAGATGAAGACGTGAATTAGCCAAGGTCAAGCGACACAGCGAGAAGGAAGGATTTAACGTGACGAGACGCACGCTCGCATATTGAGCAGCACCCTTGGGAGGAAGCGAGTGACTCCCATGTTTGAAACGCTCCAGCAGAGGGCCATGAAAGACAGAGCTGAGGAAGAGGAGAGGAACACTACAATCTGAAATGTTTCATTTGATAAATCCAGAGCGTGCACGTCGAGAGTGACCTTGATGCAGCGTGAGAGACAGAATGAACCCACTCGTAGTTTTATATGTTTATGTGTCACACTGAGTTACAAACACTTTCTTCGAGGGAGATATGATCAAAATTTTGATCTTCAAAGTAACAAACCAAAGCAAATTGCATTTAAATGAATGATCATCATGAGTTTCTCTGTGTAAAAGATGTTTCTGATGTTAATGCAGCACAGCCCGTAACATTTCTAACCACTCTGATGATCATTTTACATTTATTTGACTGATTTTTCAATATGTTTGTAAAAAATATTGCAACGGGAAGAAAAAAAAATTGAAAGTTGGTGGATTAATCAAATTCCTTTATTAGTCGTCTGGTTGTGTGATTATAGTTTGAGTTTTAAAAAAGCTGCTCAGACAAAAACATCAATCTGCACAAATTGTAATATTTATTTTTCACTATTTTCTATCAAGATAAAGACACAATAAAAAAGTAATGAACGGATGAATCAATATTGAAGATTGGTCATTATCTGCAGCCCTGCCTTCAAACTATTTGCCCTCCGTCTCTTATTTCTGTGCTTCTGGGTACTTCTTAGATTCAGGACTCAGGTCTCTGATCGAGATCAGGACTTGGGATCAGGTTCAGATTAGAGCAGAACTTCGGGGTTGCAGATGAGAGAAGTAAAAAGACGAGTTAAGTGTGTTAAGATTCTTCGAATCAACTGCTCCGTTCATACATCCTTCTTTTTTTTCAAAATAAACAAAATGTTCCCACTGAGCTTGGGTGGTCTGTAATTACCAATCATGAGCTAATTAAACTTTTATCATAGTCACATGACAATGTAGTTGGAAAACATTAAAATTGGTGTAATGTGTGATATTAAAAACACAAACAGCCTGTCCTAACTTTAAATAGAATATTGATTATGTGTTTGTGTGACAATCTGAACCGTGGAATTTAAAAGTTAAACCAGAGCTCAACAGGCTGCGGCCGTCCGTCGTCTACAGACTGCGGAAGATCTCGCTTCTTCGGGAATAAACACGGCGAAATAAAAATGTTCTCCGAGTATCAGTGAATCAAACGCGTATTTGTGTTTGCTCGCTGAGCCGAGTGATAAGCTGAGGAGTCACCACGGCACAGACAGAAGGGCTCTGCAGGGGTTGAGTGATGTGGTCACCCAGGCTGCGACGTGACAAACCAAACCTCAGCAGGCGAGTGTGTGTGTGTGTGTGTGTGTGTG